CCATTCGATTTGGGGCTATAAGGGGCCGATCTAAAATGTTTTATATTGTTTTTAAAAAGAAACGTTTTGAATTCAGATCCAGTAAACTGAGTACCGTTATCTGAGACAATGTAGCGAGGTAACCCAAATCTAGCGAAATAATTACGCAGATTATTTATTACACTCGCCGAATTAATATGTGTTAAAATTGCAACTTCAACCCATTTGGTAAAAGCGTCTACGCAAATTAACCAATATTTTCCAGATACGGGGCCTGTCAAATCAATGTGTAATCGTTCCCAAGGTCGGGTAGGAATGTTCCAATTGTATAATGGCACTTCTTTAGCTCCCGGCCTTCCTTCTTGACAACTCTTACAACATTTAACAAAGTCTTCAACATCAGGATCGAGATTTGTCCAAAAAACGTAATATCTACACAATGATTTTATCCCCACTATCCCAGGATGTCCGTTGAAGTTGCAATTTTAACACATATTAATTCGGCGAGTGTAATAAATAATCTGCGTAATTATTTCGCTAGATTTGGGTTACCTCGCTACATTGTCTCAGATAACGGTACTCAGTTTACTGGATCTGAATTCAAAACGTTTCTTTTTAAAAACAATATAAAACATTTTAGATCGGCCTTATAGCCCCAAATCGAATGGTTTGGCTGAACGATATATACGGACGAAAAAGACGCGTTTCTAGGAAGGAGATGTGGGACTCCGGACCAGTTAAATTTAGCGAATGTTTTAATTACTCACCGTAATACTCCCAATGCAACTACTGGTAAATCTCCTGCCGAGATGATGTTTGGAAGGTCGCTTAGGACGACATTAGATCAGTGGAAATTATCAACGAGAGAAAGGACGGAAAACGCTCTATGGAAACAAAAGTACTACAAAGATAGAAGTGTTGAACCTCGTTTGAAGAGCAGCAAAAAGTTTGGATAGCAAACGAAAGGACAGCAGGGTGGCATGAAGGAAAAGTGTTACAACGAAAAAGCGAAATATTGTACGATGTGGAATCAGAGGGGATCGTTAAAAACAAGCATGCAGATCAATTGAGGGATGCACATACACAAGAGAAGGAAATACCCGTTACGTTGATAAAGAAGTGGAAAAGGCAGAACATGAGAATACAACTCTTGAAAAAAGAGTTTCGAAACCCCCACTACGTTATCACGATGAATCACATATAAAACCTCCTTTTTTTAAAATATCTGGAATAATAATTCTATCATTATAAAATAATAATCCTTCTTCGAACGAAATATTATCTTTAATCGAAATATATTTTTTTACAATCTCCGAATAATTATTTATATTATCAATATACCAATGATTTTTTATTAATTTAATAATCTCTTTTAGGTTTATATCATTGCTCGTTTCACTTACGACTTTACTGCGAGTGAAAGATAAGTCTTCTATTAAATTAATTTTTAATCCTCTGATTTCTTCTTCGAATTTTTTTCTAACATCATTGGTTTTTGCTTTCTCTACCCCCAAACGGGAATGAGCATCGGCACATTTATTTTGATTACCTGGTCTATATATTATCTCATAATCATAATTTAATAGCTTCGTCGCCCACCGTATTAAACGGTTATTTGTTATTTTGTTAAGATCTCTTTTATCACCTAAAATATATTGTAATGGTTTATGATCAGTAACCAAGATAAAATGTCTTCCAAAAATATATTGATGAAACTTCTCGATAGCGAACATGATCGCCGAAGCCTCCCGATCAATTGTGGCATAATTCTTTTCAGCCGCCGAAAGTGTCCTCGATGCGTAAGCAATCGGTTTCTCCTGGCCAGTAAGAAATCGGTGTGCAATAACAGCTCCTAGACCATCTTCGGAAGCGTCACAAGAAATCACGACAGGGATATCGGTTGAATAAGGAATTATTGTATCTTCTTTTGACAATATATTTTTAACTTTAGTAAATATTTCATTTTCTTTAGCTGACCAAAACTAACCAACATTTTTACTCGTTAGTCGGTGTAAAGTCGCACAAATAGAATGCAAATTTTTAATAAATGCCTCATGATAATTCACTATTCCAAGAAATGAACG